GCGCTGGACGAGTGCGATGACTTTCGTCAGCTGTTCCATCCGGACGCCTTTGATCCAGACGAGGGCAAGCCGGAAGCGGTCACGCTGGCGATGAAGGCGCGGCGGCCCACCCTGATCGCAGCTTGTGACAGCCACGTGCCACCGCCCACACCGCCATGGAACAGGGGATCATCGACGAGCCGCACTGCCAGTGGATCGCCGAGCAGCTGGACGAGGGTGAGCCGCGCGCCGAGGGATCGAAGCATGGCGGGGTCGGCGGCTGGTGGCGAGAGTCGGAAAGGAGGGCCGAAGAGGAGCGGGGGCAGCCGCCCAAGGCTGGCCCACGCGGCTGCAAGCGGCTGTACCTCAACGACAACGAGATCACCGGCGTCGGCATCCGGTACATCGCCGACGCGCTCAAGCGCAACCGCACCCTAGAGGAGCTGTACCTGCACTACACCGACATTGGAGACGACGGGCTGCGCGAGCTGCTCCTCATGCTGCAGGCGAGATGAGCCGAGACCGAGCGGAGACTGAGCGCGGATCGAGCCTAGCAAGTGAGGCCTCCCCTTTCTCGCCCACGGGCGTTGGCGCTGCAGGTGAACCGGACGCTGCGCCACATCGAGCTCGGCTCGTGCGGCATCAAGCAGTCTGGCGCCGACTTGATCAAGACGACGCTCTCACAGCAGAAGGGCATCACTCTGGAGCACATCGGCCTCTTTGGCAACGCCGACGAGATCATCGACGACCTCCCAGAGGTATATGGTGTGCTGACCAGCAACGCGAGCGCCGGCGAGGCGCGCCGTGCGGAGTGATTCTGAGATCAGGTTAGGCGACTGGCAGACATTTCAAAAATTTGGCGCCGCAGGCGCCCGCTGCGTGCCCACCATGGTTGGGCGCGCAGCGAAGAAAATTTTGCGCTCTCGACAGCCTTTTCTAATAGGAAAATGGCCTCTACTCGGCGCCATACCGCTTGTCGGCGCACAGCGGAGTTCGCAAGCCGGACCTGCTGCCTTCCCTTCTACGTACACTTTCAGAATGGAGGCTCAAACGCAGCGCAGGGCTCAGACCAAGTGCAAGTCGATTTGTACCACAAAGTTGGTAGACAGTGCCAAAACCGCGGAACCGAAAATGGCGTTTAATTTCGCGCACCTGCTGTCCACCGCCTGTGGCGGCGCTCCGCACCGCTTGAGGCGCCTGCGGCGCCCCTGGCGGCGCGCTGTCCGCGCGCCCCTCTGTGGTTTTCGTGGGGGGCTCGGCTCTCGTAAGTCTCGATTTGTACCGGATTTCGACGTTAGTGGCAAAACTGCGGAACCAAAAATGGCGTTTAATTTTGCGCACCTGCTGTCCGCCGCCTGCGGCGGCGCTCCGCGCCGCTTGGGGCGCCTGCGGCGCCCCCCTGGCAGGTGGCAGCACGGTGTGTACGGCTGCGGGTGCGCCCGGTACACAACCGGCGCGGCTCTATGGCGTGCTCCGGGGGAGCACGACTACGCAGTCGTGGCTTCCACACGCGAGAGAGTGGCTTCTATATTTACGAAAACATTGGGCGTCCCTAGTGCCGCATCCATAAGAAGTGACGTCACGGTTCCAGGAGCGCCTGGCGGCACAGCTTAGAGTGGCAGCCGAGCGCCGGCCACGACTATCGAGTCGCCGTCGCGGAGCTGAGGGCTGGCCGACGGGTGGCGCGGTCTTCCTCCCAGCGCCACCCATCGGTCAGCCCTCAGATCGATCGATCGGCGCTCAAAGTCGCTTCAGATCCGAGAAAGCTGCTGGCGCCGCTGCCGATCCCAGCCGCGACGCCAGCAGCTTCCTCTGCTCTCCAATGCGCCGAGAAGCGACGCGGCGGTGCTCGGCTCGCCATGCACGATGACGGCTCCGCTGGGTGCTCGTCGGCCGGTCCGGTGGCACCCTATTCGCGCGTCACCTGCCGGCGTCCCGACGACAGCCTCGCGCCGCCGCTGATGGAGGGGCGGTCGGCGCCACTGCCGCCGCGCCGCCGGTGGGAGAGGCACTGGTGGTGGCCTGGGCGGCCCTCCGCCGCCGCTCGGCTCGCCCGGGCAGCGGTGGCAGCCTGCGCCGCCCCCGCTTCGAGCGGGCGCCCCCGCTTCGAGCGGGCGCCCCCCGCTTCCAGCGGGCGCCCGGGACGGGTTCCCCGCTTCGAGCGGGCAGATGCGGCCGGGGATTCGCTTTCTGAAATGTCTGCCTCCAAAGGGGAAACGACTAACCTGATCTCAGAATCACTCTGCGGAGGCAAATGAGCAGGACAGGTGAGGCCCTGAGACTCGTCGCGGCCAGGGAGGTGGGTGTAAGGGCAGTGTGTGTGTGTGTGGGGGGGGGGGTTCTATAGTATTTGCGCGCGTGTCTTTTTTGCGGTTTGTTGTGGGCGCTGGCCGCTGCTTGCGAAGATGCGAACACCGGAGGCGCGAACTGCTGACGAGAGGCTTTTTCTAGCATCTAGGGCGATTGATAGGAGCCCACGCGACTGGGCCTTGCACTTTTAATGCCGTGGGGCTCCTGTCATCTAGACGTGGAGGAGACGCGAGGATCGCCCCCCCTTGCCCCACACACCACCTCGTCGCTCGTGTATGTGGAGAAGAGTTTACCTTACCTTACCTTAGGAGCACTTGGAGGAGTTCATGCCGACCTCTTACTGGAAGTAGGAAGAAGACGAACGACCCTGCGCTGACGGCTGACTAGTCTAGGGTGCCCACAGGACCCAAAAGAAAATAGCTTTCCGCCGCAAAAAGGGACGCACGAGGCAAATCTGATGTTGGAGTGTTCCAATAGGAGCGAGGCCTCTTCCGTTGGGGGACCGAGCACATAGGAAACGAGGGTTTCCCATTGTGACCCGCTCCAGTGCGAGCGTGACACTGCACTTGGCGCCGAGCGCCCGCGGCTCAGACCTTGTGCAAGCCACCCCTCGGTGGGCACGCCGGTCCGGACCGATGGCGCTCGGTGTGGAGCAAGCAAGACCCCCCCCCCCCCATCGGCGCGCGCTCGCCATTCCAACGGCCGCCAGGAGCACCAAGAGGACTCCTCATGGCTGTGCCCAAGTGGGCTTCGACCGGCCTCGGCTGGGGGGGCGGGTTGTCCCGGTTGCGGACGCGTTCTGCAGCCCCCTGGGCGTGGGTCAGCACCCCAAAACTGCCCCTCGGCGGCATACAGCACTGCCAGCCAGCCTCTTCCTCCTCCTCAAGGGCTGTACTATAGGCCATATTGCGCCGCCTCCTACTGGCAGCCGGGCGGGCGCGCGCCGCGGGCGCCTCGGCGCGCGCACGGCTCGCAAAGTTCGAACGAGTACTGCCGCCCGGCCGCCTCAAGGCTGCCGGACGGCAGTACTCGCCTCGCAAGGCGCGTACCGGCTGCTCTGGCTGCTGCGCCGGCGGCCGCTGCGCTGGCCGCTGCTGCGCCGGCTGGCGGGCGGTACGGCCGCCGGCGGCCGCTGCACCCGCGCCTTCCCTCGCGGGCGCCGGCGCGCCGCGCGCGCCCAACTCTGCTGGTACACGGCACGCGTCGTCACACAGCCGCGGAGAACAGGCGATGCTGTGCGTGAAGCGCGCGCGATCTCGTACTTTTAAGGCTGGATCCGGCCATTCCAAGGGTATACCTTTGAGAATCCCCAGCGTCCCTCCCTCCTAGTCACACTCTCAATATCTCGACTCTCCAACACGAAGTGCTGCGATCGGGGGTGGCCCATTTCTTTTTTCTTTTCTTTTTTGGGTCCTGTGGGCACCCTAACTAGTCGCCGAACACATCCGTCATCCCCCAAACAAACTGGAAACATCCCAGCACGGTGCACGCAGCAGCACAAAGACTAAAGAAACAAAGAAAGAAAAGAGACAACAAGGGATGGGAGGACGGCACGCCGCAAAGACTACTTCCTCTCTCCTGCGTTTTTTATGTTCCCGTGCGTAAGCGAATATTGCTATAGGTTTAGTTCGGGTTCGGCTTTGGAGCGTAATAAGATTGGAACGTTTTGGCGCGTTTTGGGCTCGTGGTAGCGATGAGGCAAAACCGCCCGAGGGGAGGGAGCTCGCAGAGCTCTTCGGGGGACGAGAGCAGCCCGGAGTCTGACACGCAGCTCTCGACCAAGGACGGTCAGATCGCCCTGGGCGGCAACCAGGGCTCTCCGACACCGACGCCAAAGCGGGTGTCCTTTAGCGAGGAGCTAGAGGTTTCAGAGGAGGAGCAGGTGTCCGCAGGATCGCCTAGCTCGCCTGCGACGGCTGGGCGGCGCTCGAGCTCGACCCTCCGCGCCTCGTGCTTCTGCGGCGCGGTGACGCTCTCCATCTCGCTTCAGTATGAGTCCGTGTCCGCGTCGGTGCACAGCCAGCAGCCTGCCCTCAGCCTCCTCTCATCGCGTGGAAGCGCCCCTGCACCTTTGACGTCCTCGCCGCTCGGCCTCCAGGTGTGTCACTGTGTTCAGTGCCCTCAGC